TCATATAGGGTGAGATGTGATCAGTGGGTGTGGCCTCAGTTAGTGTCTGTCGTGCGGCCTCTGTTTTTCCCATCGTTCTTTGACGTGCTTATAAATACCATCCAACTCGACGTGCCGGTTGATGCATGAATCGTAGGAGTGCATGGCTTCTAGGAATTCTCGGCCATTTTTGAAGGGGCAAACTCCGACGATGCGTGTTTTATCCCACGCAAAGGTGTGTCCTGTGTCGAGGCAATGCATAGCCACTTCGGATAAAGGTTCACGTCTCTTCACGGCCGACTGGTGCTCGTGGATGCGTGTGGAGTCGGATCTTCCTGGTTGGCCACAGTATACAGCATCACAACCTCCACATGGGATTTTGTAGATGGCTTCTTTCTTATTGAGGTAACTGACCCTATCCTGAGGGTGTACTAGCTGGGTGCGTAAAGTAGCCATCGGTTTGTGCGCCACTTTTGTTTGGGGTGTTTACGCAAGTATCTTTCAACGAGTTCAGACACATTCCTTATATAAGGGAGGACTCGCCATGTGTTTGTTTTGGGCGATTGGGTGGAACTATCTGGTTCCTTTTTGTTCCGTTGTTGTTGTTTCATGCATCAACCGGCACGTCGAGTTGGATGGTATTTATAAGCACGTCCAAGAACGATGGAAAAAACAGAGGCCGCACGACAGACACTAACTGAGGCCACACCCACCAATCACGTCTCACCCTATATTACTATTGATTTTTTCGGCAGTTTTGAAATTTTAGTTGTTTATTGCACTTTTCCTGTTAGTCCGAAGACGAATTGGGGCGCCAAACTCAAAAATTCACTAATTGAAGTTACTTTTTATCCCAAAAAACATCTTCAAATTAAAATTGAAAAATAGAATGTTACATACAACTGCCTGGTACACGTCCTTCCGGCAGTTTATTAAAGTTTATGAATACGACCATCGATTTCGACGAAGTCCACTGCGTGCTGTACAACAGGGGCATGCAAGAACAGTAACTTGCGCTGGATTGTAGCGAGAGTAGGCTTACGCTGATTTTCGATATCAGTATCCTCTTAAGGTTTCTGACTCACATTTTTCCGTTAAACGGCGTATTTTAACACACCTGAGCTGATAACTTCATCTTTATTTTGGTCTTATATAGATCTCCTATCCAAACGAGAAAAACTGGCAGGAACTCATTGAAAATGAACTGTGGCACGCTTATCGGCAGGATGTTTTGGATGCTTTTTTAGCATCTCTAAATCATCCGGAGCGGAGAGGCTGGCTTTTGGAATCATTCAATTTCCTCGTCTCCCTTTCTGATCGGTGGAAATTTACACCCTCGACGTGGAATGTGAGTCCCTACTGTATTTGGCTCTTCTCTTTCTCGACTACTACTGGCTGAACCCAACAGGAGTACTTCGTTGAGCGTGAGAGTGGCCTTTTGTCTATAGACACCTTTAACAACTTTATTCCAGTACTAGTTGGTCTACAGAACTACCCTGTCCCGTGAATCCCGCCGCCCGACAAC